GGGGCACCAGCACTCCTGCCTGCCCCTGCTGCCCATCTCCTAAGTGGGGAATGCTAGCTGTCAGGGGGTACACCAGTGCACCCCCATGCACCCTCAATGCATTACCACTGCTTTCAAATTTCAGAAGACATGGGTGTCAAAGAGGAATTAGGATGGAGAGAGGCTGGACAGGGAGGAAAGTATTGCAGGGGAAGCAGCACTGTGAATTTATGTGAAAATCCCTTTTGATTCAGGGAAGCCAAAAATGACATCCTGACCCTTTAGGCTGAGCCAGTACCCTGGAGATTTGTTTTACTCTTCAGGAAAACAGCTTGTAACTGTGCTCACCAGCCAGGACATCAGCCTCATCCATGAACTGGGTGCTGAACAGAGTCACTCGACCAGGTTTATGTTCCTTCAGCAGGGTCCACACCCGATACCTAGAACATGGATCTAGCCCAGCAGTTGGCTCGTCTAGAAGCAAAACCTGAAAGAGAAATGGAGGAAGACATTGCTTGTATTATCTCCTCACAATGTTATTGCAAGGCTAGTGTGAGTTGACATTTTTCATGGTTTCAGCTTCTGCAGTTAAGAAAAAGAATTTTATTTTTTTCTTAAATAAAAGATTCAGGGCATTTGGTTGAAAAATTTGAAAGCATAGCACGAGTGTATCCTAAGACCTCCAAAACCAACTAGGGAAATACAAAGAACATCTGAAGGATTATTAAAAAATATTGGATGGTTTGGATTTTTTAATACTTTCTGATATTGCATATAGATTCATTTACTATGAAAAATCTTGTGTTATACATACAGATACACACAGATTCTTTTTAGCATGTATCAAAAAAGCAATGCCATTTATGTTTTTCATCTGTATTTTTATAATTTGTTTCTCATTTTAAATTATCCTTCCTGAGAATAGCCAGTTTGAGCTAAATGTATTATTGATGCTGCCTCCATTCTTTCTTTGTTAAATAGATCCCAGTGAATAGTTCTTGAAGAATGTAGGTATTTTTATATCTTTTTTTTCCCCCTCAGACCACTGACTTCATTTCAGATATTATCTATATACTTATTACATGAAAACATACACAAAGTACTTGATCTTGCAAACAATTCCTGTGGCGGGATACCTCTTGGGACCACGGGCATCACTGGCCCTCCTCCTCATCTAGGTCAATCTGCCCTTACTTGCCTGCCACACCTTGATATAAATTGATAAAAATGTGGGAAGCTGCCCTAATTGTGGCTGTGGTGTACTGGGCCCAAATACATGGCTCCAAACCTCCCCTACATTGTGCTCCATGCCTTGCAGATGGCATCTGATTACATTATTTGGCCCCTGACTGGGCCCTCTCCCTCAGGCTCTTCCATGGGCCTCACTCTAGGGCCTCCTGCCCCTCATATCACTCTGGGTTCCTGGCCCCTATGGTCTCCTTGCCCATCTCACTCAGGGCTCCTTGCCCCTATGGCCTCAGGGCCCTCACTGGACCTTGGCCTCAATTCAGACCCAACTCGATGGATATGGACCCTGCTGTAGGCCCCTTCAGTAGGCCTGTGCTCTGTGCTTTTCTGTTGGGCTGTGCTCCCCTAGCCTTTACCTTCCACAGGGTACCTACAAGCCAGTGGGAACTGAGGCTTTCTGCCACCCCATCCTCATCTTTCCTTGGAGTGGCCCACATGTGGCATTTCATGGAGGCTGCCCCACCACAGGCAGCCCCATCACACCAACTGACTCCAGGAGGATGCAGTTTTACCCAGGACCAATGGACATTCACAGTCCTATCCTCAAGCTCTACCTGGCTCCCTTCTCTCTAGAACCTGCACATACTTTGTAGACCTTCCACTCACACTAACCCCATGTCTACTCCAGGCCTGGTTTCACCTGTCCCTGCCTCTGGGTAGTTTCTGGGACCGCCTTTCATATGGGCAGGGCTGGCCTTCCAGCTCCCCACTCTTGCTGATGGTCCTTCACCCAAGGGATATTCACTCACCTGGCTTGGCCACTTGGGGCACCAGGTCCTCTGCAGCACTGACCAACCCCCTCATGATAGGCACCTTGCCCTTCAGCCTCGCTTGGGCAGGTTGAAGTAGGCTAACAACCTCAACAACCACCTGCCCACTCTCTTTCTCATTGAGGCTCTTTACGCTGGCTAAGCAAGTGCTCTCTCTGGAGCCATTCCCAATGCATCTCTCCCACCATCAGAGTACCCTCCTACTCTTGCTTGAGTCCCACCAGTGTCTCTATGCCAGAACTCTTGGGGTTCCTTCTTACTTCCCTGGTAAGGCAGCCTACTCTCTCTTGATGTTCCTCAGGCTCAGCTTTCCCAGCCCCTTTCACTCAGCCCTGCCTGGACTGGGGACCCTGATAGGCCTCCTCCTTCCCCAGCTAGCTCCCCCTTTCCTCCAGATGTTCCAGGAGATGTAGTCATCTGGCTCAGGGATGTTGCTCCTCCGGCTCCCCAGATGTAACTGCTGTCCCTGTTCCCTAGGTCTGAGCTTATACTCTGACTGCCCAGCCCTCCTCCAGTCAGGCAGCCTCCTAGCCATCAGGTGACTACCTAACTGGGCTTGAGCACACCTGCTGGCTATTCCAGAACCTGCTTGAATCTCTTAAAGTGATAGGCACTACTTGTGCCTTGACACAATTCCATACTTATTTTTAGGTACTGTAAGTAGCCTGATGGTAGGTATGGGAATCCTTATAGTTAGTACATGCATAAATCTTTTGGGATCAGGGCTTTTCCACATATGCTATGGCTGTGCTTGTCTTCTTCCTTTTACCTGTGGATCTCCTAACATGGCAATCCCAAGAGACAATTTTCTTTTTTGCCCGCCACTCAGTTTATCAGCTTGGATGTCCTGAATGCTGGTCATATCCAACACTGTCAAAATATTTTGCACCTACAAAATACATAGAAAGAAATTTCAAGTACCAGTTTGCTTTGGAATCATTCCCCAAATAGGAACTTCTAGGTAGCACTTGTGCATCACTATTAAAGTTAAACATCATCGTGTGTGCCTGCTGGTTTGAGTTCTTTGAAATGTTCCCTTAGACATCAGTGATGCAGCAGAAGCAAGGAAAACTACAGGAATAACCTTTATTGAAGCAAGGAAGCCAACAGTGTGTGTCTGGCGTGAGCTTGCTGAGATTTGTATCCCTAAGAACCTGATGAAACACCAACCTTTGCTGTTTCTAAAACTATTTCTTCATCCAGTCTAAACTAAGTGGAGCCAGACATCCAACAGCAATACAGGTTCTCATATTTAAAACCTAACCATTTCTCAACTTCATGGAGATTCAGAATCAGAATAATATCTCGGTTCTTATTGCAAAAATAATACACATACAAGTTGAGCTTTCCTACCTCCCCCTCGTGATTAAGACCATAATGCTACAATGGAATGCTTCAGGGGAGCTGGTTTTGCCACCATGCTTTGGTAAAAGTTAAATGGTTACAAAGGATTTTCAGAAATGACTAGTAAAGATACTGTTGGACTTTTATCAGGATTTTCAAAAGGTGATTTGGTTAGATTTTTTGTTGGCATAAATTGTTCAAACAGAAACCAACGAAACTGAGAATCTTACCACATTCTTACCATCTATAGATTTAAAATTCAAGCTTTCATGAGAAAATAATCCAATGCTGCTGCGGAGTCAAGGTTCTTTGCTAATAAACAAATGCTCACCTCGCATTTGGTCTCACTGGACTGGATCCCTTTGATTCCAGCAAAAATTTGCAAATTTTCTTTCACTGTTACAACTTCAAACTGGATGTTGAACTGTGGACAGAACCCAATCCTCTCTCTGATTCTCTCTCTGTCTCCTATTTCAGACAAGTGGTAGTTGTATATGGTGGCTGAACCTGTATGAACAAATAAACAGGATAAGATAAAGAACCCTTTGTCTTTCACCCAAACATAGTTTGGCAATGAAAATGACTTGTGATGAGAGGCTGAGGGAGCTGGGCTGATTTAGTCTGGAGAAGAGAAGACTGAGGGGGGATTTGATAGCAGCCTTCAACTCCCTGCAGGGGGGCTGCAAAGAGGATGGAGCTGGACTGATCTCAGTGGGGGCAGACGACAGGACAAGGAGCAATGTGCTCAAGCTGCAGCAAGGGAAGTTTGGGTTGGATATCAGGAAAAACTCTCACTAGGAAGGTAGTAAAGCCCTGGAACAGGTTACCTAGTGTGGTGGTGGCCTCTCCATCCTTGGAGGTTTTTAAGGTCCAGCTCAACAAAGCCTTGGCTGGGATGATGTAGTTGGGGCTGGTCCTGCTTGGAGCAGGGGTTGGACTAGATGTAACCTCCTGAGGTCCCTTCCAACCCTCATTTTCTACGATTCTATGATTCTAACATAGTTGATGTCAAGCCCTTCAGTTGATAGTGTATTGCCTTACCGTCTGAAGCCTTGATAAATCCACTGAGCACATTTAGCAAGGTAGTTTTTCCAGCTCCACTATGACCAAGCAATGCAGTGATTTGGCCTTCATAAATATTCAAGAACAAACCTAGTTTTAAAAAAAGTCAAAACAAGTGCATTGTTAGGATTAAGGTTTTAGAAAGTAAATTAGGTTCTATTAGTCCCTGCAGCTCTCAGCAAAGAGTGGTATCCAAGGGTCAAACAACCATTCAGGAAATGTTGCTTCTGTCAAAACTGATATAAGCAAAAGCCAGAAATACAGAAACTAAACTTTGGGTTAGTTTTCTTGATATTTATGGGAAACTGATTTATTTCTTGACTAATATTTTTTTCTTGATATTTATTAAAAAGGGAGTACTGCAGTACTGAGGGAAGGAAGAGACAGAATTAGAATAAATTAAAAACATAAATTATTACTCTAAGTGCAGAGCAAACTTTGTTACAGATAGCACAAATATGCTTCAAAACTGAATAGGGTACATATCAGCTGTATGAATTAACCTGACGTGACATATCAATTATGCTACTCAACTAATGTCATTTCATTTCTAGAACTAATTTTTCTCATATTTAACAGTGGTTAAATGTCACAGTGAAAATATTTGCATTGTCCCCAAATGTTCATTGTACTAAGCATGGTTAATAATTATGGATATATATTTAAAATAAAATAAAACAAAACCTGCCTCAGTTTTTTGTAATACATTTAATTCATTTTTATTTAGGAACAAAGGATGACAAAACTTTTACCTCTGAGAGCTTCTGTTTTCTGGTCATTCTTTCCATATATTTTTTTAATATTGTTGAGTCTAAAGGAAGGATATGGAAGTTGTTATTAGGACTAGAGACCAGCAAATTAGTTTCTAGGGGCTGCTTATTCATTCTTAAGGAGTTGATCCTTCACAGTCATTCACAAAGACAGTATATAAAAAGTAGCTACCAGTCAGCTATGGTACCGTCCTATATCAACTTTTCATAAATGTAATGGACTACACATGGCACAAGGTGCTTAAAGATCACTCCTTTCATGTATAAAGACTGAATCAGTTGCAAGAAATTCCTCCGCCTTATCTTTATCCAAATTAGACTGCAGCAATAATGAGTAGCCGAGAAGAGTAGCCATCTATTCCTCTCTGCTGCTATTATTTTTCAATAAAGCTTTTATCATGAATTAAATATACAAAGGGTCTCAAGTCCTTCATTTTTGACTTACTCTCACCTGCATTTTAACAGTGCTAAATCTAGCTCTGCATTTTTATTTTATGAAATAAAGTATTTCTGCAGTCATCCCATGAACGCCACAATTGAGCAGATGAAGTAAAATTGATTGTAAGAGCACAACAGCAGATTAGTGGCCCTGGCCCCCAGGGTAGCAACAGGTTACTTTTTGAGTATATATCAGTATCTCTACCTGATGGCTTCCTTCCCAACAAAGTCTGGAGGTATTCGCTCCATATTATCGTTAAAGATACGTTCCCGGTTCTGTTCAATTTCTGGTCTCTCACCAGGGTAATCTCTCCTGTTTTTGGACCAGTATGATGATTTCAGGAAGAATAAAGGGGGATATGGTATTCCATATTTGTCTGATCAAGAAGCAGAGGATATAACATTTTAGCTGATCAAGGATTTGTCAAAACCTTATTCATGTCATTGAATATTTTTGATCGGATTTAAAAAAAATTAGACACCTAACGATGGAGATGGATGCCCAATGGGATTTAAAAAATACTGAAGCACCTACCTTCATTTGATAATCCTACCTATAGGACCATGGCTGCCTTTACGTGCCTTATTGACTTTTAAAATTTGGCCACTAGTTCAGGACATTGTCATGCATCTGAATTTACAGCCAACAGAAGACATACTGCATGCCAGAAACTGTACAGCAGAATGGATGGATGCATTGAGCCACAAAGGAGATTCTTTCCCATCTATGTTACAAAACTGAGCTCTATATATTATAATAGGCAAAAGAGAGCAAGGCCCTACCTATCAATGCTTCCAGCCCTCCACCATCTCATGGATGATGCTTTATTGATGTTCTTTCTACTGTTCTGATAAAGTAGCCTCTGCTCCACTTACTGTACACCATACACCTCTCTAGCACCTTTGCTAGCTACAAAGGCCCAGTGATAACCCCAGGGTTTGAACCAGCAGACAAACTAACAAGCCAAAAATGTCAGAAATGGAGGGGGGGAAATCAACATTTCCCATTCAACATTTTTCAACAATTGTTGAAGAATCAACAATTTGGGCCAATATACCAGCCTGAAAAGTCTGTCCCTTTCCCTTCTACATAAATTATGTTCTTTCTACCAGTACATTCATAGCATGACACCAGCCATCTTCCATTTCCCTGGGGAACTATTCCACAGTTGAATGTGGAGTCTATATAATAAATGTTTGTGATGTTCTCCCTGAAATTTCTTTTCCCAGCATTATTCCATTACCCGTTATATTCATTTCAAGCACATATGTTCATGTACGAAAGAGAGAGACACAGACAGGCAGCTTTAAAACCACAACTGTGTATAACAGGAAATCTACACAGTCTTATCTATGAATCTGCTTACCAGGCAAAACTTTGTCAAAATAGATAGCCAGCACCATATACAAAATGGCATCAAGAATCAGTATTATGTAAGTTTTCAATAAAAAGTTTGATTCCTCCATCAAGTTAGAAAAAGATAAACCTATTCCATATTTTTCTAAATGAAAAATCTGCAAGAAAAGACAAAGTCTGAGAATCTTCACGCATGATGAGATTTACACAATACTTTGCATGCCTAGAAATAATTTGTGAAGTCCATCACCAAAGCTCCCCTCTTATTCTTTCTTCACTTGAAATAGATTTCTACTATTATTTATGATGATACCCAATCAGGTATCAATGATACCCAATGATACCAATTGGGTAGATGATACCCAGTTCTGGCTTACTCCAACCTAATCCTCTCTATTTACCTAACATAGGACGAATAGACCACAACAAATTCTTTGGGACAGGAGTTACGCCTCTGTGCTTATGTATCATCTAACAAATGGAGCTGTTGAAAGCTAACACCATAACAAATAAGTTGTAATCTGCTTGTCAAGCGCCTAGCTTATGCAGAGAGCCAGCTCCTAGTTACAATTTCCCAAATACTCTTCCATACCTTTGCAAATCCAGCATTAAAAGCAAAGGGGCAGAGGAGTCCCAAAGCCCATTCCAAAGGTGCGGGGAGTTTTGTCAGCAGTACAATAAGACTCAGGAATCCACAGAGAAGGGTGAGGAGGAACCCAACGTTGGCAGTAGTTTTATGTTTCTTTAAGAGGGAACTGAGCAGGAAGATGAAGTGGATCTGTAAAGATAAGGGAGCTCTTAGTTGGTGAGGTTGTGAATGAAGTGCTCTGAGGTAAGAACAGGTCTGAAGGAGATACTTGAGAGACAGTGGGAGATGCACATGTTCAACCATGACAAGACTAGGATGCCACCCATCCTGGTTGGAAATACAGGACATCCAGGACACTGCCCCCTTCCTCTTTCCCCCTCCCAAGTCAGTGGTGCACTGCAGGGAGAGGTGGAGGTAGAGCAGCATGCTGTCACAGGCCGGCAGGGCAGCCGTGGTGCTTGCCTGGCTGCCTTCCTGGGGTAGGGTGCTGCTTCCCTTCCTTGCCAGACTGCGCCTCATGCCCAGGACACACATTTTAATCTGTGGCCCACACCTGGGACTGATGTCCAAAATCCAGGGCTTTCCTGGGAAAAATGGGACAGATGGCCACACTAGACACGACCCATTAACAAAAATGTATGACTTGCCTAGCTGTATGCAGTTTAAACAGAAAATTACCCATGGTTATATCCTAGAATCAATACTCAATCATTTCCACTACCTATACAAAAAACACCGCAGGGCTCCCTTAAAAAAAAATTAGTTCTTTTTATTTCAAACTACCCCTTGCGGTAGGTTAAGTTCCCTTTTTGTTCAAATTCTTAATATATGTTATGATGTCAAGTGACTTTTGCTAGTGAAGGAATAGTTTTAAACAAACCACCAGGATCATAATTTCTGTTCTTATGCAGTACTATATACAGTGCACAAAAATGATGAAAAATTAATCTGGTAGTAAGAATGGAGATAAACAATGATAGAGAATTAGCAGAGTACACCCAAACAATTTTGAAGAGATCCAAAATATTTCACCTTCAAGCTTAAAGCAATACTGGAAGCAAAATTTAATTCAGCAGGTGTCTTCTCAAAGAAGGACATGGCTAATCATCTTCAACAAGTAATATTTGTATTTGCACTAAGTGTATGTCAACTGAATGGAATTCATCTGAAAAATGTTAGCAGAGATCCTGAATATCATGGTTTCAAACCCTCATTGAATCATATGTGGAATATGAGAATATGATTAAAGAAGGGTTTTACAATCACATTCTCATATTCCACATATCTGGCGGCACAGCTGTGTTGCTACCCAGCATGTCCATAGGTGGTGGATAATGTTAGGACCTTCGGGTACTGCCAGGACCCAGAGTCAACAGCTGCTTGGGCTGAGTCCCCTCAGTTGCAGCTGGGGAGACCCTGCTACACGTGCACATTCAACCTGAATAGCAACCAGCTATAAAGTTAGTACATATTGTTGAGGTCTAACTTCGTAGCAGTTTGGAGCTTTTCATGGCATGATAAGTATTTTGCACATGTAGCTGGTCTTAAGGAAACTGCACAATTAACTGGTTAACTACACAATGCCTGTAACATGTAGAGGGGCCTTAGAGATATCCTCAGCTTAATCAATCGGCCTGACCAAGCAAAGGCTACAGTACCAAGACACCCTCGTATCTGCCCTGTAGCTATTAGCAGTGTAGGCTATTACTGACATTTTAATGTGAGGGGTAAAGAAATGTATACTCAGACTTACGGATGAGATGCCATAAAGGAAAAACAGAAGCCAGACAGCAGAGAAACTGCTCATGATGAAAAACTCACTAAAAAAGATAGCTGTCAATGCACAGGACATAATCAAAATATTGATGGCATACAGCAAACTCCAGGAGAGCCTGCAAACGAAAAGATATTATTATGTTCCTGCTTGCTTAATTAATGACTTCATCTTAATTAAGACTTCATCTGTATGGCAAACACCATCTCTTAATTACATTACTTAGGCATTCCGTGGGAAAGCCCATTGCTATTCCATGTACGGTTGTTGGCACGATTGACGTCAGCAAGGAGCTACCCAGAGGAATGCATCAGATCAGGAACGTATCCCTTCCCTGGGAAAAGAGGGATGAGTGGGGATGGACAGAGTTTTCTCCCCGTTGGAGGAGGTGTTTGAACCACCCCACGTAGAAAACAGGCTATTCTCAAGCCCCACGGATATCAGAGGATCCTCTGCGTTAGGTGGGTTTCTATTACCTTAAGTCTCCTGGGTCTCCCTGTGTGATACGGCTAGGAAAAAATTATGTCACCATCTGTGGCTGTACTACAAATCTGCCTGTATTTCCACAGATCTAGTGAGAGACCTCAAACCCACACACTCCCTAAGAAAAGAATCCCTAGCCAGGAAGGGCGAGCTGTCTGGTATATCTTCTCACTATGAAAAGCTCCCCAGCCCCGAGAGTTGGGGGTTTTTTTAGCTATTTTTTTAAAAAAAATTTTCAAGGGGAGTCAAAGTTTAGCTTTTCCTCAGAATAGCTATAAACTGTATGACAGAGTGAGTCTGCATGAACTACTCCAAACAACGTACGTCGGTCCTTGCTCTGAAGTGACAGCCTCTTTACATCCTCCACACACAGGTCTCAGTCTCTCCATAAAGATTTGCACTAGGGCTGTGCAAAGCTTCAGGTGGTGATTTGATTCGGAGGAGATTCGGCCCAATTCGGTGGCTAAATCTCTGAATCTGAAACGAATCAGGGGACCAATTAAAAGTTCTGAATCGATTCAAAGCTCTCCAAATTTTCGGGAAAGATTTGGAGCGCTTTGGTGATCGGGCAGTCCCTTGTGGCTGCAGCAGGGAGCTGCAGCTGACTCCGAACTGGTAAGTACCAGGGCTGGGAGATGGGGGGGTGAAGGAGGGGTGGAGGGGTCCATGGGAGGGACCTCTGCCAGCCCCCCCACTCCCACCTGCTCCCCCAGCCCTCCGCTCCAGCTCAGTACTTTAAAAAAAAAGTCACAGTGCTCACTGGGTGCTGCTGGACATGGGGGGTAATCCCTGCTGCCCCATGCTGCATGGGGGGCTCTGCATGAGCCCCCC